TGTATACCTACGTAACCTGCGCGTTCTCCACATGTATCCCAGTATAAAGTTACAAAAAAAAAAAAAAAAGGGGCGGGTGTGGTGGCTCACACCCGTAATCCCAGCACTTTGGGAGGCCGAGACGGGCGGATCACGAGGTCACGAGGTCAGGAGATCGAGACCATCCTGGCTAACACAGTGAAATCCCGTCTCCACTAAAAATACAAAACATTAGCCAGGTGCGGTGGCGGGCGCCTGAGGCAGGAGAATGGCGTCAACCTGTAAGACGGCTGAGATCGCGCCACTGCACTCCAGCCTGGGAGACAAGAGACTTGTCTCAAAAAAAAAAAAAAAGGTAGTAGAGGCAGTCCCTCCTCCTTCTTCATTGTTACCTGTACGATTCTAGAACCGGTCTATCTAGGGTTAAACCGTGGCTGTTTCTTTGTGTGAGCTTGGGGAAGCTACTTAACCCCTCTGGGCTTCAGTTTCTTTATGAGCATCAAGACTTGATTGTAGTATCCACCTTAGAGTTGCTGCATTAAGCACTACGTAAGTGTACTTTTTCATTTTGCTTGTTCACCATTCTCCCATATGAACTTGAGAATCAACTTGCCTGACTTCAATGTAAAATTCTGACATTTGATATATATTTATAATTTATAATTTAATTATTTATAATTTATAAAAATATATATTGCTTATAAAATATTAGCATTTAATTGAACTATTAAATTTATAAATTTAGGGATAAGACATTTTTATAATAATGAGTTTCCCCACTGAACACAGGATAACGCTTTTCATCAAATTTGCAAAAATACCTACCTATTCACCTCTTCCACTTCCACTACCTTAGCCCAAGCCATCATGTATCTTTTCCTTGTCCTCTTAAGTCTGTTCTCTCACACTGTAACCAAGTATCACTTCTTTGTGCAAAACCTTCTGACAGCTTCTCATTTAATAGTCAAAGCCTGGAGCCAGGTGCGGTGGCTCATGCCTGTAATCCCAACACTTTCGAAGGCCAATGTGGGAGGATGGCTTGAGCCCAGGAGTTGGAGGATGTTGTGATCCATGATAGTGCCATTGCACTCCAGCCTGGGTGAGAGTGAGACCCCTCCATCCCTTAAAAAGAAGAGTCAAATCCTGGAAGGGAATCGGAAAATGCAAGACCATCTTTTACTTGTGCTGCAGAAGAGAAGCAGCTGGGCAACAGGTGGAGAGGATGTGGGTTCAAGGAAGTTGTTTTGTTTGTATGCTGATGAGAACTAACCTGAAAAAGTGGAGGAAATTGTTGAGCTAGGAGATAGAAGGGCAAGTGCTGGAGAAATATTCTTAAGTAGGCCTCCAGTCACATTTCCTTCCATTCATTTTCCTGAGCCTGTCCCCAACAATTTAAAATGCACATCTGATCATGTTCAACTCCACTGCTAAAACTCTTTCAATAATCCCCCGCTAACTTCTGTAAAAACTTACAATTTAACCTGGCATATAAGACATTCCATTATTGTTTTTTTGAGATGGAGTCTCGCTCTTGTCACTCAGGCTGGAGTGCAGTGGCGCGATCTCAGCTCACTGCAAACTCCACCTCCCAGGCTCAAGTGATCCTCCATCCTCAGCCTCCTGAGTAGCTGGAATTACAGGTGCCCGCCACCACGCCCGGCTAATTTTTGTACTTTTAGTAGAGATGGGGTTTCACCATGTTTGGCTAGGCTGGTCTTGAACTCCTGACCTCAGGTGATACACCTGCCTCGTCCTCCCAAGGTGCTGGGATTACAGGCATGAGCCACTATGCGTGGCCATTCCATTATTTCTTTAAAAATGTATGGGGTACCAGATATATGTAGCACTATGGTAGGTGCTGGTTATAGTTAATAAAACAGGTTGGGTCACCATCCTTGTGGAATTTATGGTGTAGTTAAAAAGATACGTGAATAAGCTTGGGAGATTTGCTATAGGACAGGAAATACTAAGCAGTGTTTGGATGCCACTGGGAATAATTCAGAAGGAAGGACACAGATACTATAGGAGAGACATGATCAAAAGAACTAAAGGCCTTGAGAAACGAGAGGGGATGATGAGACCCTAAGCATATGTGGAGCAACTGAGTTTTGTAGGAGGGATACTTCAGTTGTAACTAGGGAGAAAGGTTGAGTGATGGAGTAGATAGCTTATAGGGGGTGGGATGATGAATTCCATCAACGGTTTTTCAATGAAATGTGAAGCAACGTCCTTAGCTACACGGAGAGAGGAGAATATTAAATGGTCATTTCAGAGTATTAACAAGAAGTTACAGTTGTTGCTTATTTCTTGCCTCCTACAGCTTCCAAGTTGTTTTACACTTCTGAGATTTTGATTTAGTTCTCATTATTCTTTTCTGGCAAATTTCTACTTGTTCTTCCAGACCTATCTGGGCCATCACTTTCTATGTCACCACACCTGGTACCTATCTCACTTCCACCATTAAAATACACTTTAGTTTGTATTTGTTTCCCCTACAAGACTAGTAAGATTCCTGAAAAGCTTGGTCTATGTCCCTAGTGTGAAGTACGGTGCAGGACATTTAAGTAAGGGTTTTCGATAAATGTTTAACAAACATTGTCTGTGGAATCTACAGCTAGAATTTATCTGATATGGAAGTGCCAAGGATTAACCAATCCCTAAAATGAAGCAGCTCATATGACATCTGTGCCCCTTTAAATTTGGCACTGTTTGGCTGTGCTTGTTGTTGTCAATGCAGAGTGTTCCTGCACCATTGCAGGATGGACACACCACCACGTTGCCTTTTCATTTAGTCTTTTTGTTTTATTCAAATGTCAAAATGTAAGTTCCAAGATACAAATTGCGTTTGATTTAAAAACATCGATTATGCTTTGTTAACAACTTCCAAAGTCAAATGTAAGTTGTTGTGACTAAAATGCTTCCCAGTCCATTTCTGGAGGATTACCCTTAATATGTTTAGCAGCTAGTCTGATTTCCACTCTACAAAAAGGAAAATGATGCTATAAGGGAAAGATAATGAACAAAGTTATAATACGTTAAAACTTCCTGGGGAGAACTTGAACCATTACTAGGGAGACCAAGAAGAGGTGTTTCTGTTCCATACTATAGCAACCAGCCTTAACACTGTAATACAAAGTGCATTTCTGGTCCTACCCAGCCATAAATACCACACATTCCTTTTATTAATTATATCATAGAAAGCCCAAATCTTCATCAACAAGATTTAGAATTTCCTAATAGCTTCAATTTTTCAAAAAAAACCCCAAAAAACAAAAAACAAAAAAAACAGTGTAAAAGGAAAGCTCAACAGTCTATAAACCAAAAAATAAGGACAAATATTTACATGTAGTCTGATTTAAACAATTTCGAATGAGATTAAACTGAATGAATATAGAACTTGTACCACCATTATAGAAGGAAAGAAAAAAAAGCTTAAAAGATACCCAAATATTTTAATATTTATGGAGTTAAATGATACAATTTTCATTAAGACCCCAAATATCCCACCACTTTTTACCTTTGCTGTATAATGAAGGTTAGTAACTTATATGTTAGTGTGAACACATTTACTTTGGCTGATAGCAAAACATAGATTTTTTTTTAAATGTTCTAAGAAGCCAAAGAATTAGACCAAAATGTTCAGCACCAAAAACAAAACAAAAAAACTAGCTCAGTACTTCAGGTTAAGTACACAATATCAGGAAATTTTATTTAGGTCAGCACATGGCTGTTACCATGACTGACACTGCATGCTATTTATCGAATTAGATATGTATCTTTCTGGCTGGATGCGGTGGCTCATGCCTGTAATCCTAGCACTGTCAGAGGCCAAGGTGGCCAGATTGCCTGAGCTCAGGAGAGACAGCCTGGGCAACATAGCGAAACCCCGTTACTACTAAAAATACAAAAAATTAGCCAGGTGTGGTGGTGCACACCTGTAGTCCCAGCTACTTAGGAGGCTGAGGCATGAGAATCGCTTGAACCCGGGAGGCAGAGGTTGCAGTGAGCCAAGATCGTGCCACTGCACTCCAGCCTGGGTGACACAGCGAGACTCTGTCTCAATAAAATAAAATAATATAAATATATAACTTTCTGAAGATTTAAGCCAGACTTCAATTCCATTTACTCACCCCATAGTACTAAAATGGATTAAAGATGGTAATTAAGGCTGGATGCGGTGGCTCATGCCTGTAATCCCAGCACTTTGGGAGGCCAGCAGATCACAAGGTCAGGAGTTAGAGACTAGCCTGGCCAAAATGGTGAAACCCTGTCTCTACTAAAAATACAAAAATTAGCCGGGTATGGTGGTGTGCACCTGTAATCCTAGCTACTCGGAAGGCTGAGGCAGGAAAATTGCTTGAACCTGGGAGGCGGAGGCTGCAGTGAGCCAAGCTCGCACTACTGCACTCCAGCTTGGGACAGAGCGAGTCTTTTTTTTTTCTAAAAAAAAAAAAAAAAAAAAAAAAGATGGTAAATCAGACAACTTGGTAAGAAAATCGCTTTTACAGAACCAATTGGGAAGTTAGTGTCATGCTGTCATGCGTTAGCAGATAAGACTAGGAATACAGCTAAACCAATTATCAAAATATAGTTCTCTTCAGGGTATTTTTCAATGAAATTTTTAACTACCTGGTCCAATTTTTTTTTCCCCCCTGAGACGGAGTCTCACTCTGTCGCCCAGGCTGGAGAGAAGTGGCGCGATCTCAGCTCACTGTAACCTCTGCCCTCCGAGTTCAAGCGATTCCCCTGCCTCAGCCTCCAGAGTAGCTGGGATTACAGGCACCTGCCACCACGCCCGGCTAATTTTTTGTATTTTTAGTAGAGATGGGGTTTCACCATCTTGGCCAGCTGGTCTTGAACTCCTGACCTCGTGATCCACCTGCCTTGGCCTCCCAAAGTGCTGGGATTACAGGCATGAGCCACCGTGCCTGGCCTACCTGGTCCAATTTTCAAGATGAATATAATTCCAATATTTTCAGAAACACATGTGGGTAAAAAAGTAACACTAAAGAATGGTATCGCAATATTCAATTTTAAAGAATTTATTTTCCCATTTGTAGAGTAACATTATTGTAACATCTACAGTTATTGCAATACCTGCATTGCTTAAAAGAATTCCTAAGAATTTTGTTAAAGCATAGTTTTTTTTTAAAAACTGAACCAAAATAATGTACATTTTATCTCTAAACACTGTGTCATTAAAGTCCACATAACGTCCTCTGTAAAATCAATGTGATGTTACAATAATATACATGATCTGATTCTTATCCTAAAGGCTTCTCTGACCATGTATGATATCCAAGATAGATCCAATGCCTTTAATATCAGACTGTAGAGACAGTTATGATCCTAAACAAAAGAAGGAAAAGCTGTATATACAGGACAGCAATATGACAGTTTAGCTGTTTGCAGCATCTGCTTGGCGGGGCCATCCTTCTTCTTCAACTCCAGAGTCATACTCCTCTTCAGAGGATTCTTTTGTTGGAGCCCTACAATGAAAAGCCATGTTTGTTTTTTTTTTAAATAAAAAACGGAGGTAAACGTGATCTTTAAAATCAAAACAGCAAAGTAACCTCCCCTAGCTAAGAAAGCCACGATAATAGAAAATACTAGGAGCACTTTTAATATTAAGATTGCTTAGACCAGACACAGTGGCTCACACCTGTAATCCCAGCACTTTGGGAGGCCAAGGAGGGCTGATCACTTGAAATCAGGAGTTCAAGACCTGCCTAGCCAACATGGTGAAACCCCATCTCTACTAAAAATACAAAAATTAGCCGGGTGTGGTGACGCATGCCTGTAGTCCCAGCTACTCAGGAAGCTGAGGCAGGGGAATCACTTGAACCCAGGAGGTGGAGGTTGCAGTGAGCCGAAATCACACCACTGCACTCCAGCCTGGGTGACAAAGCGAGACTTCGTCTCAAAAAAAAAAAAAAAAAAAAAAAAAAAAAAAAAAAAAAGATTGCTTAGTAATATGGGAAACAGACTATACAACCAAGTAAATAAACTTCCCAACATTTTCCCTGACAAATTTATTACTGAAAAAAAAAAAGGACAACATGGCTTCAATTATGAAGGCTTAAAATATCCTTTTCTCCAAGAAAGCATCATCTGTTATTTCAACTCAAATGCTTGAATTTAGCATATGTATATGGTAAAGAAGCTACTTCTGACCAAATCCATCTTGTCTCAAACTAGTAAAAATAATTCAGATCACCACAATTCCTTTAAAAGCCACATGTCAACATCATTAAACAATAAAAATAAGAGATTATATCTCTCTGGATAACTAAGGTTGTTCAAAAAAAATCAACTGCCTCTAAAGTTATCCTGGAACATAAGCAAACATAAAACATAACATACCTTATGATTGAGTTAAACAGAAACCTAGTTTTTGTGTAGGTAACATTAATGTCAAACATTGTAAACATTTATTGAATAAATCAGGGGTTAGGAAACTATAGCTTGCTAGCCAAATCTAGCCCATTGCCTTTTTTAATATATTTTTTGAGACCGAGTCTCACTCTGTCGCCCAGGCTGGAGTGCAGTGGTGTGATTTTGGTTCATTGCAACCTCTGCCTCCCAGGTTCAAGTGATTCTCCTGCCTCAGCCTCCCCAGTAGCTGGGACTACAGACACGCACCACCACACCCAGCTAATTTTTGTATTTTCAGTAGAAACAGAGTTTCACCATGTTGGCCAGGATGGTCTCTATTTCTTGACCTCATGATCCGCCCGCCTCCACCTCCCGAAGTGCTGGGATTACAGGCGTGAGCCACCACACCTGGCCTGAAGATCAACTTTCAAAGACTCACAAAATACTATTTTTTTATAATACCCAAATTAGATTTTTCTACAGAAAACCTGAGATTACTGCTTCCCTTACAAATACACGATATAACAATTTTTATGTAATTTTAAAATGACAAACCAATAAACATAGCAATGAGGAGATGATCTTAAATTTTATATCTGTTCTGGCTTGAAAATGCACTTTACCGGATGTATCCTGGTTCCTTTTTTCCTTCTACTACTTCTTTGTCAACCTCCACACATACGATATCAGAATTAGGGACTTCAAACATTGGTTCTAGTAACAGCTTTTCCTAAAGAAATAAAAAGTAATGAATCACATTGAAAACTGATTACACACAAGAGCTTTTATTCTATATATCACAAATTGGAATCCATTCACTCAAGGAAAAAGAAACAAAACAAATAAACATATATGTTTATATATATTTGGGATTATAGCTGGGATTACAGGCATAAGCCACCACATCTGGCTTTTTTGTATTTTTAGTAGAGATGGGGTTTCGCCATGTTGCCCAGGCTGGTCTTGAACTCCTGAGCTCAGGCAATCCGCCCGCCTCAGCCTCCCAAAGTGCTAGGATTATGGGCATGAGCCACCATGCCCGGCTTCTTGTTTTTTTTTTTATTTTTATTTATTTATTTATTTTTGAGAGATGAAGGTCTATGTTGCCAGGCTGGTCTCAAACTCCTGGGCTCAAGCAATCCTCCTGCCTCGGCCTCCCAAAGTGTTGGGATTTATAGATGTGAGTTACGAGGCCCAATCCCGATTTTCTGTTTCATTAATCATATTATGTCCATGTCCTTTGTTGCAAACACCTTGAAGTTCCTTTTTGAGAAAAAGCAAAATATAATCTACTGTGATTTAAAAAAAAAAAAACATTTCAGGCCAGGCGTGGTGGCTCATGCCTGTAATCCCAGCACTTTGGGAGGCCGAGGCAGGCAGATCACCTGAGATCAGGAGTTCGAGACCAGAATGGCCAACATGGTGAAACCCCATCTCCACTAAAAATACAAAAATTAGCCAGGTGTGGTGGTTCTTGCCTATAGTCCCAGCTACTTGGGAGGCTAAGGTGGGAAGACTGCTTGAGCCTCAGCCTGGGAGGTAGAGATTGCAGCGAGCCAAGATAGTACCACTGCACTCCTTTGAGATTCTGTCTGTCTGTCGGTGTCTGTCTGTCTCTCTCTCTCTCTATAGATAGACAGATAGATAGATAGATAGATAGATAGATAGATAGATAGATAGATAGATAGATTGATTTTCCAAAAGAAAATGTATCTGTTTTCCAAAAGAAAAACAAGGAAGCTTAATATACTCAAAACTCAGACCAAGAAATAATTGTTTTTAGAAAATAATGCCAACTCACCATTATGGACCGAAGGCCTCGTGCACCTGTTTTTCGTTCTAGTGCCAATCTGGCTATAGCTTTCAAAGCATCCTCAGTAACATTCAGTTCACACTACAAATACATTAAAAATAAATTATAACTTTTATTGTTAATTTCTACCTCCAGAAAATGTACCATTAAGTGAGGGCACACAATTCATGGTGTTTTGGAACCCTGCCTTCAAGAAGCACTTGTTTCTATCAATTAACCCATGACAGTATCAGTATTATGAATTGCAAGTTTGTTCTGAAGATGTTTTCTAGATTAACACAGACTCCCTAGGATTTTTTTCAACATTTACCAAACCTCTGTGTGTTACATACTAGGGATTTAATGATGAATAAACATCATCTTTGCCAAGCAACTTACAGTCTATTGTGTGATGACAGATGACAGATTAGCAAACTAGCACTTATAGTCCAGTGTATGCACATGGAGCTAAGGGAGTGACAAAGGGGGAGGCATCTAAATAAGACTAGGGAACCACTGGAGGATTTTAAGCAAGGGAGTAAAAACATTAGCCTTGTCTTTAATTATTCAATAAATATTTAAGAACTTAATATCTATTTGTTGGGCACTGTGCTCAATGATCCATTCTAGAAGTAAAGAGGAAGATAATGATATTTTGGTGGTGGTAGTCACAGACAGACGTGAGACAGGCAGACCAATTAGGAATTAAATGCATGAGTCAAGGTGAATAACAAATAGGCTTGACTTGAGGCAGTGGCAATAGAGAAGAGGAGACTGATATTTAGAGACACAAAGTTCACAAAACCCAAACCATTTGTTATCTAATTGGATATGTGGGCTAGGTGTTTGCTACAGAGACGTATATGTGGGATTAATAAAACTCTATTTTGGCAAAAGAATATAAAAATACACACAGTATGTCACAACAAAAGCATTTAGAATATCAAGACTGAAAGGACAATCCTGTATGTCTGGCTTGGAGGTGTTGAGGTAGGCTAATGGCATTATTTTTCTTGGGCTTTAGGCTATAATGATGGTTTTAATTCAGAAGAAATAAAAACAACTCCTAAATTCTAACATAATACAATACGCCTTCCTTGATTCCTAGATCCATATTTAGTAAGGAATAGGCTGGTATTCTAGATGAGCAGAATTTGTTTTTGTTGTTAGGTTAATTTATGTAGAATTTCAATAGCAAGAAAATAAAAAATAACTAAGTACAAAAAATAAAAATCTAACCTTATCCATGCTGAATAAGGCCTGGTACTGAGGAATAACAGCATTTCGTGGCTCAGTTAGTATTTGTACAAGTGTTTTCTCATCTAGGCTATGCAATGGAACCACCACAGGCAACCGTCCCACAAACTCAGGAATCATGCCAAACTCAATCAGATCTCTGGCTTCCACATGACGCAATAACCGATCTTTTTCTTCAATGTCTTGGTGAGTATTTGATTCCCCACTTCGATTAGCAAGGTCTGCAGCAGCTGCAGCCCTTCTGCCTTTTCCCAGATTAGATGGTGTTCCAAATCCAAGATACTGCCAAAGAAATGATGCATATTATAAATAGTAGAATCAAATGATAGTGTATTAAGTACTTTTCATACATATTTCATATGATCTTTGTAACAACTCTATGAAGAAGGTTTCATTATCATTTACATTTTACAAAGGAAAAAAAGAGGCTGAGAGGTTAAATATCTTGACCAAAATCTTATTGCTGTAAGTGGCAAAGCCAGAATTTGAACTCAGGTCTGCCCTGTCTGCCTTCAGAATTGAGAACGTAACCGCTATGTAATAACCAACCCTCAAAGAATGAATTCTAATAAAAGCATATAGTAACTACAAAGGGAGTCCCTTAGAACTCAGATAATAAGGTTGCAGGGTTTATTCAAGACTTCTAGATGAGTGTGGTTTTTCCTAAAGGTATAAAAACTATAAATATGGAGGTACAAGCAGCCTAATGAGAAAATTATCTGTAAGTGTCTTAAGTCACTGCTAAATCATGATTCTTCTAAAATTATGATTTGGTCTGCATACATAGTTAGAATAATTTAGATTTTACAAAAAAATGTAAGAATGACATCAAACAAGAATGCTAACTTTTGCAAAGCTAGAGTCCTCAAAAACATAAAAAATAAAATGAATGCTAACTTTGCTGAACAAGGTTGGGTATATAAAGGCATATGGATCTCATTTCAGTCAACATAAACGAACTGTACTCCAGGCAATTCTCAGAAAGCTTAATTTTGTCATGTCATATAGCTTTTGTCAAAAGAACAAGAGAAGTACATGATATGTGCAAACATAGCCTAAGCTAAAAATCTGTTTGCAGGCTGGACACGGTGGCTCATGCCTGTAATCTCAGCACTTTGGGAGGCTGAGGCAGGCTAATCAGTTGAGGTCAGGAGCTTGAGACCAGCCTGGCCAACATGGTGAAACCATGTCTCTACTAAAAATACAAAAAGTAGCTGGGCGTGGTGGTGTTCACCTATAATCCCGGCTGCTCGGGAGGCCGAGGTAGAAGGATTGCTTAAACCTCAGAGTCGTGGAGGTTGCAATGAGCTGAGATCACGCCACTGCACTCCAGCCTGGGCGACAGAGCAAGACTCTGTCTGCAATGGACTGAATATTTAAGTGTCCCCAAATTTGTATGTTGAAATCCTGTGTATTATTAGGAGGTGGGGCCAGGTAATATGAACTAGAGCATATGGAAGGCATATAGAGCTTGCTTCAGTCAAAGTAGTAAGAATTAGAGCCTATGACTGCTCCCCTAATTTTCATTAATAAAGTTCACAGCTAAATGGAGTGACCTAATTCTCAACAAATCAGAATTACAACTTAAACCTTCCTTCTGTGTACTTCTGATTCTTTTTCTGACATTACTTTCAAACCTTCTGTCCTACATGTTTCTAGCTTCAAATCCTTTTTGGAAGTATGAAATATTAATTATAAATAAACATCAGAACATGGTCTTTGCTTTTAGTTACAGAGTTTCAAATACAAGGTTATCGCTCTCACACACACACACCCAAAGAAATAATTTCTTTCTAATTTGTTAGGCTAATTTATGCAGTATTTCAATGACACAAAAAAACAAATTTTCATATTATGTTTTGGCTGCTACTGAAATTTTGCATAAATTAGCAGAAAAACAAAAATCTAACCATATCCATGCTGAAAAAGGCCTGGTACTGAGGAATAACAGTAATTACGTAGCACGGTTAGTATTTTTAAAAGTGTTTCCTCACCTAGGCTAGGCAAAGGAACTACCATGGACAACCGCACCATTAGCAGCATTATGATTATTATTTTTTACTACTACTAACCTATTACTTAAACTAGTACATTCAAGGCCAAGAAGACTTACATCAAGCAATATAGCACACAGCTGATCTATGACATGAAGATTTCAAATAGAATGTTATGTAATATAAATGCGATCACTTGTGCTATTATGCAAACTACAAAACCATGGAAAATACAGGTGTTTTCTGGGCTTCCTGCCACTATGCTGACATTACATTTTGTTGTACTCAATCAAAAAATAAGTACTGGGCATGTACTATGAGGATATGAAGAAACAAGTCCCAGTCCCAATTAAAAGCAGGGGTTATAAGAAGAAACACCTATAACAATGGATGGGATCATAATCCTTCCTGTATCTGCCAAAATGCTCCCCTCCACTGGTGAACGTCAGCAGTGATCTATGGTAAACTCTATGAGCAAGGGCAACGGAGATAAACTTTACTGGGCACCAGTGAATTGGGCAGGGGGAATGAATAGAAATTGTACTGATACAGTAACTACCTTCAATAATGAACTCCCCAGATAAAATATTAAGTTGAACTCATCAAGTTACACTTTTAAAATGCCCATACAGGCTGGGTGTGGTGGCTCATGCCTGTAATCCTAGAATTTTGGGAGGCCGAGGTGGGTGGATCATGAGGTCAGGAGATCAACACCATCCTTGCCAACATGGTGAAACCTCGTCTCTACTAAAAATACAAAAATTGGCTGGGTGTGGTGGCGTGTGCCTGTAATCCCAGCTACTTACGAAGCAGAGACACAAGAATCGCTTGAACCCAGGAGACGGAGGTTGCAGTGAGCCGAGATTGCACCACTGCTCTCCAACCTGGTGACAAGCGAGATTCCGTCTCCAAAAAAAAAAGCAAAGTCCATATACAGATGATATTTAGTTAGAAATCTTTCCATTTACTACTCTGAAGTTATTTGATTTTTTTTTTTTAATTTTTGAAACAGTCTTGCTCTGTCACCCAGGCTGGAGTGTGCAGTGGCTCAGTGGCACAATCGCGGCTCACTGCAACCTCTGCCTCTTGGGTTTTAAGTGACTCCCCTGCCTCAGCCTCCCGAGTAGCTGGGATTACAGGCGCCTGCCACCATGCCCAGCTAATATTTGTATTTTTAGTGGAGACAGGGTTTCACCATATTAGCCAGGATGGTCTCGATCTCCTGACCTCATGATCCACCCACCTCAGCCCCCCAAAGTGTTAGGATGATAGGCATGAGCCACCGTGCCCAGCCTACTCTGAAGTTTTAAAAAACTAGAAATACACTAAGTCCTCACTTAACATCGTTGATAGGTTCTTGGAAACTGCAACTTTAAACGAAACATACAACATGTCCTCCAATAATGTCATTTTGTTCAACATAATTTCCTTATTAAATTGATGAGGAAAAATTAGTCTGTTACATGTCATTTCGCTTAAAGTTGCAGTTTCCAAGAACCTATGGGATGACGTTAAGTGAGGACTTACTGTATACTACTTTTTTTTTTTTTTTTGAGATGGAGTCTCCCTCTATCACCCAGGCTGGAGTGCAGTGGCGTGATCTCAGCTCACTGCAACCTCCAGCTCCC